AGTTACATCATCCTAAATGATTACTTAGCAAAGATGGTGAAATAACCATATGCTATGGTTAAAAAGGATTTGTGGGTGATAAGGTTTATTAATTTAATTATTTATATTTTCATTTAATTAATTTTTTATAAATATATTTTGTATAAATGAAAAATTATATCTTTTATTAATTTAATTAATTTATATAAATATCTGTATGTTTTTATTTAATTATTTATATTACTACAAATAAAAATAAAATTTTCATACAGATGTACTATATTCACAAATATAGTATTTAATATAATATATATTCATTTATTCAATATATTTATTTTATATTATTTAAATTAATTAATTCATGTACATTTTCAAAATATTATAAAATAATATATAAAGTATTTATATTAATTTTTACACATATTTTTAGAGAGCTTTTTTTATTATAAAATTTTAAAAAATTATAGTATAAAATACCGAAGGGACTAAAAGTATTGTAGTGTATATTAAATTATATTGTTTAAATTACAATTAACTAAATAATTAAAAATTTAGGATAAAATAAAAATAAAACAAATTTGAATCAACTGACAGGTGAACAACTTTAGGTTCCAACAGTTTTACAGCCTCGAGTCATGAGTCGTCATCTCCCGGTCTCCTTCAGTCCTTGGTTAGCCGGCCCACCCCCCACCCGCCAGCGAGCAACCGCTTTCCTGCCCAATTAATGAAATTAACTTAAATAATTAAAATAAAATATGTAACAGTTCTAAAAATATATAATATCATTATCTTTTCCAAAACAAAAAATCAAGGGAATTTCATTTAAAATTCAGATTCTCTTCTAAAATTGACTTGATTTTCTGAACTCTTCTTCGCCAAGAAACCTCTCTCTGTTTTCTTCGATTCTGCAATTCAGTTTGCGGGAAGCTATTTCTTAATTTCCTGGAAATTCAAACCTAAAATTTTCCAGCGGAACACACGAAAGCTTCCCGGTCTTATCATTATTGTCATTATTACTATTCTTCTTTTCTTTTCTTATTATTTTGGTTAGGGAGGGTTCTGTTTGGCTACTATAATGGGGCAACAACAATCAAAGGACGAGTTGCTGTATCAGCAAGTGAATTACGGAAACATTGAAGGGATCAAAGCGCTCTGCCGAGATGGTGCAGGTCTTGAGGTACCAATCACCTAGAAGAAAATATGGGAAAATGGGTTTTGCTTCTTCATGTTTTCAATTAACCGATGGTAAGATTTCATGATGAATATGGCGTAATGTTTCAATTAACAGGTATTTGATTGTTGTCGTGCAGTGGATAGATAGAGATGGGAAGACACCGCTGATTTTGGTGTCTATGAATCCTCAGCACTTTGCTGTTGCCAAAACTTTGATAGAACTTGGTGCTAATGTCAACGCTTATCGTCCCGGTAAATGGTTCATTTCTATTTCTCTCTGGTTTTTTCCTTTTCCGTTTGCAGAATTTTTGTAAGTCCTGTGTGCAAATTGGTTAAGTTTAGGTTTTCTTGGCCGATTGTACAAAACGGTTTGTGGCTAATAATGCAGCAACAGACTTAAAAAAGAAGGTATTTTTGAGTTGGAAATTTATGTAGAATTGTGCCTAGCCTTTGATGTAACCTGGAAAATAGACAGAAGCAAAGCTTGAGGACGGCCAGAATATAGATAATGAGCAGTTTGCAGTTTTAAAAATGTGTACATTGTGCAGCACTGTAGTCAGCATTATCTAATAGATAGAAGCTTAGAGAACACTTAATTCTGGGTTTAAATTTCCAAGAATTTTAATCGGATTCTTTGGTAAGAAAGAGACTAAATTAAAGATACAACGGATCTCTGAGTGCATCTTCTTTTGACCTTAGTGCTGGCCAATTAGATCCAAATATAGCTGCATAAAGTTTGAGTATTGGAAAAGTGAGACAGATATATGCATTCAGTACTTTAGCAATCAGTCTGTTGCTTTTGTGAGGGATACTCTTTTATGTGGCAGGTAGTTTGCTGACGAGAGTTTGCTTTTTGCAGACCTGCCAGTTTGATTTATTTTGTTTTTGGTTTCTTAAATTTTGTTCACTGTATGAAATTAATGAAGAGCCATCTATTAGAGGCCTAAGTAGCATACTTGGTCGTGTAGATGAGTATTTCTGTTATATATTGGCTTTTATAGTAACATACTTATTTGGCGGTTGTATTAGGTCGTCATGCTGGAACTCCTTTACATCATGCAGCAAAAAGAGGCCTTGAGAACACTGTAAAATTGCTTCTTTCACATGGAGGTAAGCGTTAAAGCTAAGTAACCCACTAGGGTTGTGAACATTTAAATACTTATAATTTACTATCTAGTAATTTGAATTATGGCCAAACTTCTCAGCAAATGCACTAGTGATGAATGATGATTGTCAATCACCTCTTGAGGTTGCTAGGGCAAAAGGACACATCAATGTAGTGCGTGCCATTGAGGTATACTTTTGATTTATCTTTCTTGATTGTCATGTATTAAAGTTTCCTGTCTACACATGAAAAAAAGATACACCTGAATCCTTCTTTTTTCTTTTCTCTGACTTATAGAATCATATCTGCTTATTCTCTGGTTGGATGCGAGAATTCTATGGGTTAGGGTTTCTTGAAGTACTTGCTCCCCAGCTTCTGTCAAGAAAAGTGTGAGTACTTGAGTTAATATTCAATTTGCCATGCTATCTTAATATACCGCATGATTTCCATTTATTGCAATTTGTGAAGACAGCTGATCCAGACTTTCTTTTGACATGTACCAAAGAAAATTTTGTTGTTGTATGCTGGATATTGATGCTTTTCTATCTGTGCATTTTTGTAGATGGGTTGTCATTGTACCAAGTGGTTCCCGTAATCCTACAAAGCCTTTCAAGTTGGAGCTTGCTATATATTCTAACCAGCAGGTATTACAATTATAACTGCTCTTGCTAAATGATTTTGGTGACTATTAGCTTGCAACTAAAGAGAGCTTATTTATATTTAACGGTAATCCGGCTGAAACTTGCTGAGAAAAGTAACATATATATTATATTAGTTTGAGGTTTAACCTGACCGCTTATGCATTCTCTGATATTAGCTACACTTCACATTTAATCAGGTTGATATTGTACGTTTAATGCTGGTTTGACTCAAAATAATAACCCTTTAAATTAAAGTTTCATCATGAGTTTTCAAGTGACCTCTTTTTGAGACAAAAAATGTTGACATAAACAGACACCAATTGTGCGTTGCTCAAAAACTTCCAAAAGATCATAATTCAGAATATCTAAGAGGTTTCCAGGATTCTTTTCTTGAGTAATTGTTTCCATACTAACAAATTATTAGGGAACGGAACCAAGTATCTTTCGATCAAAAGAACGGTAAATGCTTTCAAAAGCTCTCTATTCCTCTCTTTCCAAATGACCCTAAAAATAGGCAAAGGAATAAGAGTGGAAAGTATCCTAGATATACAAATTTGGAGTCTAACCCAATGCCCAATTTTATTGTGCATGATAGATTGAGGAGGCCAAAAGCAGAAGCCGCCACTTTCTTATCTTGAGCTTCAAAGAAGGAGATGGTTGTGGGGTTCCCAGTCTTTAATGCACAAAGGAGTGCTATTGACAATAATTTTCCTGTTTTACATAGATTTCTTTTTTCTTTGGACAGTAGAAATAATTTTATTAGCGTAAGCGAGAGAATGAGTTACAATATGGAGTATTCTCAAGTATTAAGTACCAAAATCAATGCAGCCAAACAAGCAAAAGAATAACACAAATAATGGGGACATCCTATGGGATGGAAATAATGGCATCCTAATTCAGATGGAACTCTGAGACAGCTATGTCAGAAGTCCCATGCACTTTAACCCATAAGAATTTTGCTGAGTAAGAATTTTGTGAGAGCTGCTTTTATGGGAATCTAAAGACTATTGTATTTTGTGAGAGCTGATTGATGAAAAAGGATTTCACAGAAAACTTGCTGGATTTGAAGATGGACCAAATGGGATAGTCATTTATGGAAATATCAATTCGACTCTTAGACAACTTAGCCTTCAAATCAACATACTCCAGTGAGCTCCCAATCATTAGGATTTGTAATAAGATGGACATTTGGAACCACATAGATGCCTAATGGAGTAGTCTCATGCACTTTATTCCATAAGAATTTTGCTTAGTAAGAATTATGCCTCAAGCAGTTTCCCACATGAAAAAAGCAATCCGGGAAGAAGCTTTTACTTTTCTAAATCTGCTTCTATGGGAATCTAAAGGCCATTGTATTTTCTGAGAGTTGATTGATGAAAAAGGATGTCCCAGAGAACTTGCTATTTTCTGAGTCATTTTTGGAAGTATCAACTCGACTCTTAGACAACTTAGCCATCAAATCGATACTCCCATGGCTCCCAATCATGAAGATCTGTAGTAAGATGGACATTCAGAACCATATAGCTGTAAAAGTCCATATCCATAACGTCATTACAACTATATGCTTGTCCCTGGCTACAGAAAAAAAACATCGGGGTATGGCACATAGGGGACTACCACCAAACCACATATCCAAAACCGGCATTCTGCCTATAGGCTCCATAAAGGGGTTCCAATATCTGTTGATTCTCCTCCACACACTAGTTCCATATGACTATCTATCATTTCCTGTCCTCCAACTGTACCCAAAACCCTGTATGTAGCTCAAATTCCCTCCGTCTGAAGATGGCCTTTCCATCATAAATCTCCACTACCATTTAGCTAAAAGGGCTTAATTCATTTCAATTAAAGATCTAATGGCAAATCCCTGGGTTTTCAGAGAAACTATGGGTGCAAAGAAGCCTCTTTTCAAAATCTTTTCTTGTCTGTGCAACATACTTCCCAGAAATGTTGCCATTTACTCCTGTAAATTAGTCACCGTTCCCTCATTCCTCTGTATTGGTCTGCGTATTAAAATTTTTAAGAAACCTGAAGTCTCTATTCGTAGTCATTAAACAGCGAATGCCTGGTCTTTTAGGCTAAGTCTGAAATGAAGATTGTCCAAATCCATTTGAGTGCCCTGATGTATTTAACTAAATATAGTGAGAACTTCATTTATCTCCCTGGAAACGCTATCTAGGTCCAACGCTCATGGTAAACAATCTCGCTTAACCAAAAGCAAGAAGATAATTGTGGAATATTGAAGGAATTTGGGGGAAAAAAAAGAGAGCATGTGTACTCTGTTTTCTTGTATATGTGACAACACAAGAAGCATCAGGAAAATTTTTCTGTTTTTTCGTTTGTCCTAAAGTTTTCAGGAAAGCTGAATTCTCCATATCTTCTTACCGGACACAGAGTTGGCTATTTTTAATATTACACTGAGATTGTGTTCTGATCTATCCTGTTTTCTGTTCTCTCTCTCTCTCTCTCTCTCTCTCTCTCTCTCTCTCTTTCTCTTTTCTCTCTCTCTTTTGATCCTTATTGATCCAATCTTAACCTAAAAACAATAAGAACTGGGTCTCTTATCTCTCTGAACACCCTCCTTAGGTCCAGCTCTCAAAATAAACAAGCTTGCTCAACTAAAAGGAAGTTGATAATTTGGATTATTGAAGGACTAAAAAGGAGGTTAAGGGAATTACGAATGTAACCCGGCTTTCCCTTACATGTTAACATTTCAGACAGTGGCACACATGAGCAGCAACAAGAAAATTTGTCCAACTTTTATAGTGTAGTAAGAATCCACTCTGGACCTTTTTTTTTTATGACAGGGATAGGAGATAGGAATCAAACTCGAGTCCTCAACTCACCTATGAGGACACTATGCCATGGGAGCTGGTTACTTTGGACAAATCCACTATGGACCTTAGTGCCTCATTGGTGCCATCTAACTTTTTCTTTTTTTTTTTACTATTCATGATTAATTTTTGTGTTCAGTATTTTATGCTTGTTTCAAGTTGCATTTCCTTCTGATGTTTTAAGTAGTAATTCTTCAGTTTTACTAGTGTTACATATTATTATTGTTGAATAAGCAGGATGCCCAGCCACGAATTGTAGTTGCATTGTGGAAAGCCAAGATAGAGGACCCAAAAATGAACCAGCCTGATCTTTCAGTGACAATTATTGAAAATTCCTCAAGTAATCTCTCGATACTAAATATTTATATTGTGAACATTTTTGGTATTCATCAAAATTTGATATAACACATCTCCTAATTCCCATGTTTTTAATTGAATTTTATGTTCATGCATAGTCCCAAGAGGCAGGAGGCGGAGGCGAAGCATTTACACCTCCCACGCGAGGTGTAGGCCTCGAATGGTTAGGCGTAAGTATATAACTGTTTAGTTATCCATAACTGTACATAACTCAAAGTTGAGTAGACTATTCCATAAATCAAGGAACATAGATTTCCCTAGTTAATAGCAAAGTTTACATCTACTTGGTGCATCATGCTCCAGCCTCCAACTCAAAATAGACTTACCAGATAGCCAATGGGAAGAGGGTGGTTGTGGAAATTGATCAGCCACTTCATAGCTTGGATTAGCATAGCTGTATGTCTTTTTTTGTTTTCCTCCTATTTCTATCTATCTATCTATAGAAAAGAATGTCCAAAGGGAAGTTGGGCTAGTGGCATCGTGGGAATCTGATAAATAGTATCAATACATAATTGTACATAATTATCTATATGGTTACATAGAGAGTTTTATCTGGTCCATATGAACATTATGCATATTAATAACTCTCTATGTCCCTACATAATTGATTTTTTGTTTAATAAAATAATGATTAGTAGCATCTAGTACGTTCTTAATTTTTTGAATATACATGTAATATTATGATTTATTATATTAATCAATCATATTCAAGATGGTTATATAAATAATTTTAAATGCTGAATATAATAATTATCCATGATTAAATTAAAGGGAGAATTATTTAGAAATTTATGGTTATTATAGATGAAAATGTGATCATTCTTTATGGTTTATAATTCCTTCACATTTTTATACATTAGATATCTAATTTTTTGGTGTTGTCTAATTTTCCTCGACTTTATATGTTGTTAGATTTGTGCATGGAAATTATGTGCATGCATCAATTGAGATATATTTGGCCATCATTTTTAAATAATTGGTTGAAAAATTAAATTGTTATAACATATTTTACACAATCTACAACTACATGCAAAACATAAAAAAGATATAATATATTCTATTAAATTTTGTAATCAATCAGTTCCTACCATAAATATTGTAAATTTAATTTAGTAAAATATAATATATTTTAGAAAGCTGGGCTTTTGGTGCTCATAAGAAAACTAGTCAATATGTACTTTCCATATTGCTTGAGTTTGCTCTCCCTCTTTTTCAGAGACACGCATTAAACTTGCACCGGAAAATGAAGGTGACAGGCAACAGTTTCAGTGGTTTTGCAATGCATGCAGAGGAATTCCACAGGTATGGTGCACGGTTCCTGAAGAAGTGTTCCATTTTAATACCAAAAGCTGTGATATAGAAGAGTCATTTTAATTGTTCTTAATATCATTTTTGGTTTCTTCCTCAAATATATATATATATCTATGTATTATGACTGGTTTGTCATATCCTATTCTTTTACATTAATTTCTATAATATTCTTGAAATGTTGAATCTGGCAACAATTTTCATGTTTCATTCATAGTTGAATTCGAGTCATATTTTGAATTATTTGAAAATGGATTTTGGGTTCATATTGAAGTGGATAGGATTTAAAGAGTCTATCAGCTTGAATTAAAAATAGGATTAAAATATTAATCTTATTTATCCAATATCCCATCTTATTCCTACTCCATGGAATTGGCATCCTTGGACCTGATGTAACCTGAGCAATTTTGTTGGTGTAAAGTAGTTATAAAGGCCTAAAAATTTTGTTCTATCAACGAATTTTTGGCTTAGATATAACAAGGAATTCGATCGTTAGGTTTTTGGAGTAAAAAATTCTCATATTCCTTTAGAAAGAACAAGCAATATAGTCCAAAGAAGCCAAAGTGACTCTCAGACATTTAAACTCATTTGTCAAATCAATATACTGGTTTGGTTAATGATCTGTCTCCTTACTGGCTGATAATATTTTGAAGCACATTGCATATGCGCTATTAATTCTCAGTGGTTTTTAATCTACTTGAATATTTACTTCAAGTTTACCAGGGATATGATCCATAAGGTATTCTGTAGTATCTGACTTAGGCTTTCTTGGAACAAGTCAAGAATTCTTGTGGAATTTATTATGAAATCTACACTTATTTCAACTAGTAAAAGAATGAAAATCTTATTACAAGATAATCAAAATGATTTCAAAGAATTTTTTGGTAAATTGGAACAATACGTTTCAAATTCCATTAATGTCTCTCAGGAGACAAACCGCATCAATTTTTGTGAAATTCAGAGTGGATTGTTTCATATTAACCAGTAATTCGATATGAGGTTGATTCTTATTATTTCCTAGTAAAATTGTCCATTCTCATATTAAAACAAGAATAGATCTATAGAGGAATTCCTCAAATATTCTGAATTTGTTTTCAAACGTAGTCTTAGTGAATGTTTGCGAAGTTCTTCTAAGAGGTACAATTAATAATTTTTCTTGCACGTCTCTTGTTAGTTCAATTTTTTTAAAGTGAGCATATGTAATTTACAGGCAAATCCAGCATTCCTGAACTTCCAAACACCAGTTATTCAAGGCACTGCACCACCGGAGAGTGAAGATTTAGAGTTAGCAATGGCAATCAATGCATCTCTCCAGTCTGCAATTCATGAAATGCCTCCTCTAGATGCCCCTTCTAACTGTGAAGCAAGTGCATCAAATAGTTGGAAAAATGCTGTGAATATATGCAGTCAAAACAGACCAGGGACGTCTAGTGGCATCGAGTGGCCAAAGCATGAATCTGGCTCTAGTGCCATTGCAGCCCTGCAAACCCAGATGGAGAGTAATTTAGTTCCTGCCTCCCAGACATCGATCCATGCCTCGGAGTCTGTCCCTTCAGCTCCACCGATCACAGATAATGTTAGAGATGATGGGCCAATTGAGTATCCATCAATTGACTCAAGTCCTGTTGATATGCTTTCAACTGTCGAGAACTTACCTGCTTCTGAAAACAAAGGTGGAGATTCTTCAACATGTGTTGTATGTTTGGATGCTCCATCTGAAGCGGCTTGTGTTCCCTGTGGTCATGTGGCTGGATGTATTTCTTGTCTGAATGAGATTAAAGCCAAGAAATGGGGCTGCCCTGTATGTCGTGCAAAAATTGATCAAGTGGTAAAGTTGTATCGTGTTTGAACGGTGGAACAGAATTTTCTGAAGCCTGAATGGGGAAATGCTTGAAGAAAGAATGGTACGTGAAGAGTGTAATACTCTCCATTTCTGTTGGTAGGTTTGATGAATGATTGGGATATATTTTGTAGTATGAAATTTGGTGTAAGTAGTTACTAGTCTTTTGCACTTGAAGAAGTTTGTTTATTATCATTTCTAAAGAATGAGACTGCAAAATAGAAACTTCCAAAGGTTTCTGGCCGCAACAAGGGTGCTTCTCAGTTCATGCTCAATGGACAAAGGGACAAGGTAATATGTTGAAACAAAGCGATATGCAAGTTACGAATCTATATATCACTACTATCTTGTGTAGAGAACCGAATAAGTTTAAGTGTAAGTTAGTAAATTTGAATAAGGATTAGGAAGCCTTGTGTTCTGCAACATGGAATTATTATTCTTTCAAGTTTGAAGTGTGAGATGTGTTGTATTGTACAGTTTGCTTCTGTATAGTTGTTGGCAAAAGCAGGGGAACGGGTTGGGTTGAACACGTGTAAGAGATATTTATTTGAATATATTAGTGATACAGCTTTTTAGAGATAAAACAAAACTGTTTATTATAGTGAGTAGGCAGGTGGTATGTAGGCGCATTTTCCTCGTCGGCACATGTTTATGATTGACAAAGTGGGTAAAGACTAAAGAGTCATGTTTCTTCACTTAAACGAGAGTGAGCGTGACCTTATTACGGGTCACTTCACTTGGATAGCAATTTTTGGTAGGGGCGGGGGATACCATCTTTTACTTAAAGCCATCATATGAGGGGCCCCTAATTACTCTTTAATAATGTGAACCTAGGGCTGCCACCCAACTCTGATAACCAAAATAATTATACCTACTAATGCAACTTTGTATGTGTTTCCAAGGATTAAGCAAGACTCATGTTATGGCTGCCGCAACCGAAGACATATCCGCAATCTATCCTCGAAAAGGTGGTCAATAAAAATGCTAATACACCGTTTAACATGCAAAGATTACAAATAGAAATGTTTAATAAACTGTTCAAACATGCAAAGATAACAATTCGAAACTAGTAATCAATCCCAGCTTAATAAGTTATCAAAGAGACAAATAGAAGATATATATATCTATAAGATTTCATAAACAGATACTAAAATTTAGATGATATTGCACTCTTATCTAAGAACAGATAGTTTGAGTAGTAGGTTGATTCTATCACACTTACAAAAATATCATAAAAAATTGATTGAGCTATCCGAATCGACAAAAATCAGGATCCAAAAAAACCCACATTCAACTAAAGATTAATAAGGAAACCTCTTGACCAACAAACACACACACACACACTGAAAAAGAAGTTATAATCCAACACTTCAATTAAAAGACTTTAATGTCAACATGGAAAACAAGCACCTTCTTGATTTTAAAACCAAAGAATTTAAATAATTTTAGTTTCATGTTAAATTCTATATGAGCTAAAATTTTTATTGTTACGATATAATTTTGCAGCATCTTCAAACTAAATTTAATATTTATAATAAAATTAACAAACATTTTTAGATTTATTAGAAAGAGTATAATGTTTATTCACGAAAAACTAAAAAATGGTAAATAACATGATAAAAAAAATAAATAAAATGATAAGAGGAAACGAGCCAATAATTTATTATGATAAAAATATAAGTATCGATTTATTAAAATTAAAATATAGAATTTTCGGTGCTGTTTGACCCTTTTGACAACAAATAGAAGCACCAAAATATTACCTCATGCGGGCAGCAGCGAGTATAAACCCTCGAACTCTTTATCTAAAGAATGGAATTCTCATACCAATTTGAGCTATTATTATACGTACACAACATATGACGTATATATATACACACACAGAGAAGAGAGAGAAAAAGAGGAAATAAGACCAAAAAAAAAAAGAAGTTAATATACAAATCTATATATTTATAAATTAGATGGTATTTATATTAATCATAAATTAATAAAAATAATTTTTAAATAAAGATTTTTATATAAAAATATAATTCGAATCAAATTTATAAATTTTTATTTTAAAAAAAAAAGGTATCAATAATTAAATAAGATAAATAAGTAATGATTAATTAATTAGAATTCAAATATTAAGCTTTGAATTGGGACTTTTAAGTACATAATATTTAATTTAATTATTAAGAGCAATTGGGACTTTTAGTTGTAAATTTTTTAAAAAGACAAACCAAGCTGTGAATATTTGGCAACCCAACTTAGTCCATTGCAAGAAGCCAACCACCAAATTTGTATTATTTTCTGAATCATTCTAATTGAAATTCAGACCATGTACTGAGTTGGTAATTGCTTTAAACTCATGTGTAATAAATGTTCTATATTATTAAGTTGTTTGCCCTTTCTTTTTTTTTTTTTTTTTTCTCTCTTCATATTTATCCAAATTATATATATATATATATAAAGAAAATTATAGGTATAACTTTCTTGTAGAAATGAATCATCATATATTGTTGGTTTTCTTACTATTATTCATGTGACCAACAACATTCCATTGCTAACCTGTTTTTCTCATTTTGTGTACTTTTATTATTAAATTCATTGACACCCAAAACTATATATTTACATCTTCAAAATTAAATTCAAAGTACAAGCGGCCTTAATATATATATATATATTTGGGTCTAAATTAAGTGAATCTTCCTTTTTAAAAAATAAAAAATAAAAAAAAAATTTGTCATTATTGAGAAGTGATAGCTCAAAAAACTTTTATAAACAAAGAGGGAATTAAGGAAAAAAAAAGGAAAAACTAATTATGTCGGCCCCTAAGCTTTTGAATATCTCCAACTGTTGAAATATTAAGCATATCTAATAGTTCACTCGTGTTAACTCTTAAACTATTATTACAATTTTTAATTAGATATGTTTAATTTCAAAATAATTTTTAATATCAGTAAAAATTTTCAATCACATAGTTTAAATTTAAAAAAATATATATAATTCTAAACAGAATACATTCTCAATTTACCACTCAAATTACTTGTGAGTTTATATTAAAAAATGAAAAAATTTATTCCTGTCTGTAAAAAATTTTGTTTTTACTTGTTTTTTTTTTATGACTTTCTTACTTGATACGTAAATAGAAAGCATATGGATAAAAAAAAGTTTCCATGTTTTTTATTTTCTCATATTTAAGAATTTTACATACGCACTATATCAATAGTAAACTAGTAAAGCCCTAAGCCCATTTAATTTAATTAAATTTGATTATCTTTTATCTCATACTCGTCTATCGTAAGTTGATCAATAATAAAGTAAAAATAACAATATTTAAAATTTAAACACTCAATTAATACTTAAATAAAATGGATTAGCATTTAATCGTATAGGATTTAGTCAAACCAAACCTAGGTAGACTTTAACCTTTATTTTGATCTAAGCATTCCAAACTAAGTATGAACATTTTTTCTAGACCTTGTATTTACAAATAAAACTGTGAAATAATTTTAGATATGTATACATACTTTGTCTAAAATTCTCTAGTAAGGAAATTGATTTGTCATCTTCCCTTTCTCTTTGATGAATCAACTTTGTAGGGATTTCTCAAGGGAGAAACTTCTTAATTTTTTGTCTTTCAAAATTTCTCAAAAGAAAAAACATGTCCATCAATAATTTTGATGTATATTATCTCATCTACTACATCCTATAAAGATTTATAATTTGAATATTTTCAAACTTTGTTACTTCATATTCATTATTCATTAACGCTTAGGTCCATTATGTTAAGAGAAATTTCTTCCGCTTTTCCAATAGTCATGTTTACAATTATTAATAATATAAAACCATAAGATACCATATCTCTTATGTAACACCCAACCCTTCTTTTTTTTTTTAATTAGTTATTATTGTATGAATATAATTATTATTTATATAATTTTATATTGAATTTAATTTAGTTTAATTTATTTTAATGAAAATAATAATAATAATAATAATAAAAAGGGATAAAAATTATTTATGTAGCGCCCGGAAAGGAGGAGGGAAAAAAAAAAAAAAAAAAAAAAAGGGGGGGCCACGTCAGCAGCCACGTCAGCAGGCCCGGTCAGCAGTCCTGGCCAACCGGGGCCTGCCACGTGGCAAGATCGCGTCACTCCAAAAGGAGCCACGTTGGCGATCCGCGTGGGTGCGATCCGACGGCCCAGATCAATCGCGCGATCGGACGACCCAGATTCAAACGCACGGACGGCCCAGATTCAATCAAAAACGAACGGCCCATATTAAAACGAAATGAACGGCTGTGATCAAAAGGCAAGGGGTTATAAATAGAACCCCCACACCAGACCACAAACCCTAGCCGCCAGCCGCTCGCCGGAGAAGACGAACCATAAGCCGACCGCCGCCACCCGCCGCCACTCGCCGCCGCACCGGGGAAATTTCCGACCGCCGATCGAGGTAAATTTCATACCCCCGACTCGTTTTTCTCCACTGATTCCTCTATGCCAAATCGAAGCTGAAATCCCGGCCAAACGGCCGGAATACGCAGCCAAAGCCCAGCGGCGCCGCCGCGCCCGCTCTCGGTTTTTGCCTCCGACGAGGCCCTTTCCCGGCTCCGTTCGATGCAATTTTTATATCACCGTGATCACCATTCTTTTCTCTACAGGTTGACCGGAGCTGAATCACCAAAACACGAACCTCGCCGGAGAGCCGCTGCACCCGAGAGCGCCGCCGTCGGTAAGCTCCGTTTTTCCGTGATTTTTTGGCCCCCCGAGGGCCCTAAGGTTGTTTTCTGACAAGGACCAATGCGAGCGTGGCCGAATTCGGCCGAAAACGGCCGAAAACAGCCAACCCGAGGCGACTCGCCGCCGCCAGCGGCGGCGCCGTCGCCGGAGCACGGCGGAGCCGCCGTGCCGGAGTTGCGATTTGGGCCGAAAAAGGCCCTGGGCCTAATTTGGATTTTTTTTGGAACACGTGCAGGTACTGTTAGCGTGTTTCAGTTCCCCGAAAAAAATTCAGGGAAAATTAGGGACAGCCTGCAGGCGCACCGTGAATCGTATTCGGATCCCGAAAACAAGTAAGGACCCCTCACCCCTATTTCCTATCACGGTATTAAAGTTCAAAATGATAAAACGGTATTTCTTGAATTAACGAATGTGTGAAATTGCTTAAGGTGGCTAATGGAGCCCGAGTCTAGTGTGATTGGTGATTTACTGTTATTTGGCCTGTTTACAGCTTTAAATGCAAAATGAGGTTTGATGTGTTCATTTTACAGATTTGTGTGCATATACTACGTTTTTATTAATCATGGGTTGAATGACTGAAAAAACTGATATTGTATGTTGTCTGTTTGACATGAATTACTGTTTTGCTTGTTTGTATGTTAATTGATGATGCTGATTGAGGAAAAGGAAAATGAAAGATTGTGTAGACTGATAATTGTATTATGGGGGTCAGCCTGACTAGATATCCTGGGAGATGGTGGACGGACCGGGTCCGTAGGGAACCCTACCGGGATTGTGGTCTCACATGCCGGACGGGGTATGGAGATCTTATGGTTTTGGCGCCCATACCGGACGGGGTATGGGGACGGCCCGTTTCA